TGTGAAGCTCAACACAATAAACAGAGATTTCTGGTGGAAACATCAGTGTACAGTGCTATTGAGGGAAGCAGGCTGCCCTGAGAAGTTGTGGAACATATTTAGTAGTGAATATAGCAATCCTTGGTTAACAGTTGGACTCGATTTTAGAGGCTTTTTCCAACCTTGACAATTCTATGGTTCTATGATCTATGGTACTCAATGCACAGCATAAGAGAACTGTTAATGTTAAGTGCAACCTAGGATAAAGTAAAATGTGATTTCAGTACAAGAAAATACTTACCATTAAGGTCTGGTTTGCTGGGCTATGGAATATCCTTCCAACAGCCAGGGCAGAAGGCCCCAAGGCAGAAATCACTTAACACAAGGCCTGACCACTGCTGGGTGTTAGCAGGAGCAAGCCCTGGGCATCACTGAAAGGAGGGTGAAATTTCAAAGTGGGTGCAGCTGTGACCAGAGACACAAGGTCCCAGCCCTCCCATGACAGGGCAAGGGAAGAACTTGGAGAAAACAGTTTGCAGCAGCTCCACAGAAGAGTCCACCCAATACCCTGCAAACAGGGCACTTTCAATCTCATCGCTGCCTAGGAGAACTTGCTCAAACAGTACTGCTGCTGCACGGGGGAAAGTGTAATTAGTTTCTATTGCTACCTTCCCAAAAAGGGTGAGAATTGAAATTGTTAGATGTTGACACGATTATTAAGTATTACTGCATTGAGATATTTAGATTTGATACATGGGAACTTGCTAAAGAGCAATGACAGTAAATGCAAATTTATTTCCTGTAACTTCTCTTGGCATTAGAGTTTTTAAACAAATCTTCAATAGAATACTTTCTTAAATCCTAGCCATAGGACTCAGAATTCTTTTTTTTACATATCCTTCCCTTCTGCCTTTCATTTGATGAACACTAATATCAAATGAAAGCACATATTCTGTGCCCTTGACACTTGCAGTTCTTTCTTATGTAAAGAAAAGCAAAACCAAATGCAGTTTTCTCTGCAGGATCTTTCTCAGCATTTCTAACTGACAATTGGTGATTTGTTCCAACATCCTATGGACTACATTTCTTCCATATCCTTGTTTCTTCTTTTTTTTTTTTCAGAAGGGTAATTAATGTGATGTATTTTAAATCCTGGGGACTACATTTCTTCCATATCCTTGTTTCTTCTTTTTTTTTTCAGAAGGGTAATTAACGTGATGTATTTTAAATCCTGTTTTTTTCTGCAAGCCTGCATTGCAGTCTTCTAGTGGGTTCTCTGCTTCCTTTTTTCCTTTTGAATGTGCTTCCACCTTTGGATCATCACCTCTACAACTTCTCAACTGATCAATTGGTCTCCTTGCATTAATTCTGTTCCCATTTTTACCTGCACAGTTCCAACACCTAACCTGTGTCCATTCATTTTATCCCATCTCCAGCTACTTCAGAAGTCCCTCATTTAAAGTCAGGGCATCTAAACCAAAACTCCTGCAGCTGTGCCTGAAACCACTGACAACAGCAATGGTATGAAGGTTTCCCTATATCACTGTTAGCATGCTGTGTGTCAAAAAAGCCAGTTCCTTATTTTTGCACCAACCTAATACCATGCAAACTGAAGGTAGCTATGGCAATGAGTTCCCAATCTTGAGCAGCCTTTAGAGAGCCTCTGCTGACAAGAGGAAGCTGACCTTTGAAATTCTCTTGCTGTATTTTTATAGCTCTCATTTATTCTCCATATACAATTTGTTAATTTTCCCCATTTGCTTTGCAATTCCCAAACAAACACAAAATTATCACTATTTGTCATGTAAGGAAAAGTAGCTTTTAACCAATCTTCTGTGAATCCTATAAGTATTGCATTCATTTATTAAGTAATAACATTTAAAAGCTAAATACTTTCGATTGTTTTGAGCACATTATTTAAATTTAAAAAAATTTGTAAGTGAAATGCTTTCTATTTTAGTAACATACTAGCTTAATTATGATTTTGTAATTATATATTCTAATTAGAACTTTGCAATCCCTTGCAGTACACAGAAGCATCTTTTCGTTCACTGTTTTCAACACACAGTTATCAAAATAGTCTCTAAATGTAATTAGTTTCTATGTTTTCTTATGATTAAAGCCATTGCATAGGATGTTTCACACAAATCTGTTACCCGAAAATGAACGTGCTTAGTGCTGTGTATCCTATATCTGGATATTTATTTAGGGCACACAGCCAAATCTGGCACTTGTCTAGAATTGTGTTTTTATTGAGCAATCAGTTGAACTTTCATTCAGCATTTTTCCATATTTTGACAGCTAACAAGCACAATCAACAGCTGCTTCTCTGACAGGAATCATTCCTCCACTCATATTGACCCAGTTTTAAATCCTAGACACAGTAATACATGAACCATCCCTGTGATACAATGTTCACTCCAAATGTGGCAATCTTTATCATCCTACTCTGTACCCTGTGTCTTCTCCTCTGGCAATTTTTCTGAGATTCCTTTCTCTTTGTCCACCTATATAAACTTCTCAGAAAAACTGTTTATTTACTCCACACTCTCCTGGTACACACTTGTGCACAGTTACCAAGCTTCCTTGCCAGAGTATCTATTGTGGGTTTTTTTTCCAGGAATCAGGATTGATCCTCACAGAATATTCCCAAACTGGCGGTTCCATTCGGTTTCACTAGCCCTTTACCACATTATTTCTACAGTGTGCCTGTCTGTACCATACACAGGAGCAGTGCAGGAAGAGCCCCAGGTTATCACTGGAGAGGCTGGCTCTGAAACTGGAAGCTGTGCAGTTGACTGCATGTGGCTTTGCATCTGGGTTCCCAGTCCTGCTTCTCAGTTCAGCTGCTAGTGGCTCCACAGCTTTTGTTTCTGAGTCTGCACGAATTTGATGCTAGCTAGAGGGTACAGACCAGTATTAGTGCTGTATTGAACATGACAGACATATCCATAAATCAATAACCTATTTTTTAACAAAATCCTGGACTAGAAAAAATGCTCAGCGCAGCCATGTGAACTAAGGATTTGAATTCATTTCACATGGAAAAGGCAGCTTCAACAGAACTCAAATTGCAAAGTGCTTTCTAGAGTTTCTTACATCATACCTAAGCAATCAATTACTTCCAGGCTTCCCTGTGTTAGTTATTAGTGAGAATAATCCATAAATTCATGATAGGTATCTCTAATAAACAATGCTTATCAGTGCATCCAGGTTTGACAGAATACCCTTTTTGTGGCAGTTCTTATGTACAGCACCCAAATTTTAAAAATCTCCTGAAAACAAGGACAGCTTTAGATGGAGGGAGCTGCTGTTCCTCAAGGTTGTCTTCATTCGGAAGGGCTGTCAGATCATCCCTCTTTACACAGACAAACAGGGAGGCAGCACAAAGCACATGGGATATGTGTGGCATGTCGGTGGACCCCATCCCCAGTACTCACTACCACATGCAAAAGGGGGACAAGGTTGGCAGCTGAGCTTGATTGATGATACATTTTTACAAGTGGATTTTTGTGAGGGACAAAATTAGATTCCTCTAATGGCAGTTCTGCCATTTATAGGAACAAGCTGCCAGTTTTCTGCTCATATCAGTGGACAATACAGTCACCAAGAAATGCTTCCTCCATCTAACGGGAAAGAAGCCTGCAAGATATATTCTCCTAACAGCAGAAGTCCAGCCAAGATTAAGAGATAAAATAACCAAAAAAATTACATGCCAGACAAGAATTTATCTGTGCAGATATATAAAAGCCCATCCAAACTGCCAGGCCAGCTTCTGGACTATTCAGCAATCAGAACACCTTCAATAAAATCTGGCTTCTTAGATCCACAGGCATTATTTGGTGCTGAGCATCTTTTAGTACAAAGCTGCTGAATTTCTGAGGCAGGTCTGAGATGTGTTTAGGCCTGGTGAGACCTTGTGTCAGCCACACACAACTACTCCAGTATTTTTTTGGTTGTTGGAACTGACTCTGTGGGACCACAAAGCAGTTAGTAAAGCCTATCGCAAAATAACCAAGGACAAAAAATGGCAGAGCCACTGATAATTTCAAAACTGCCTTTTTAAAAAACCTTGAGACATTCACATGCTCCTGATAAAACAGATGCAAGTTTCATTTAAATCATTAATCTCCCACGAACTGAAATCTCTTTCACAAAAATTAAATTTCCAAATAGCCATGGGTTCAGCCTGCAGTAAATTTCTGCCAGCAGTACAATCTCAGTCAGATTTAACAGAAACAAAAGGTGCTGAGAACTCACAAGGATATCTCACAAAGCTAGTTTTGGTACCTCATGGCAATCAGCTTCTTGTCCCTCTGTCATTTGTCCCAACCCAGCATCAATCTGGCTCCTTGCCTTCACAGTCAATTTTCTGTTTGCATGTCTGGATGCTAAATCAATTGGTGACAAAATTATTGAAAGAATTCTATGCAAACACTAACATAAAATTTAACATTGCTGCCACCTGATTGGCCTGAAATACCCCTTTAATTAAAAGCAAATTGCCTGCATTCCAATTCCTCTCTCTGCAAAATAGCTACAGGTTAGGCATTGAGAAAGAAGTACACATTGGGAGTCTGAAAAACTATTTTTATACAAATTTTCTTTACATCCAAGATTTTTTTTTTTTTTCAGAAAAAGGCAGGCAGATAGAAGGGGAAGAAGAATAGGACTTTTCTTCAGACAATCATTCTGTTTGCAATAGTTCTCTGAACAAACTCATTTTCAAGCTACACGTCACACTTGTTAATGAGACAGTAGTACCCAGCATCCCTCCTCCTCAATGCTAAAGACTACCAGTTTTATTAGTGCCGTTTACAGCCGATTTACTTCTATTTTGGTATCACGTACTGATAAAAAGTCTTCCTACAGAAACGAGAACTTGTTCTCGATAAAGGCTCATTACCTCCAGTCCTGCACCCGCTGGCAGGTGCCACACAGCCCGGCCCGCCCCGCCGCGGTTCCCCAGCAGCCCGAGGAGCCTTTTCCTGCGGGCTGCTCTCTGCTCCGTGCCCAGGCCGGGACAGCGGGCACCGGGAAGCAGCGCTGGCGGCCGCGGCAGCAGGCAGGCCTCCCCGCCTCACAGCGTGCGCCGCCAAGGGGTCTCTGGGGAGCGGAACGCGGGGGGAAAGCAGCGAGGGCTAAGCCCTGGGTGGCTCGCGTCCCGCTCGCCCCGGGGGTCTCCCGGCCCTTCGGGGCCGCCCCAAGCGGCCCCGCGGAGCCGCGGGAGGGGCCCGAGCCGCGGCCCGGCCCGGCGGGGCGGCAGGGGGAGCACGAGCGCGAGCCGGGCGCATCGCGGGGACAGCGGGGCTCCCGCTGCCAGCAGCGGCCGCCGCGGGAGCCGCACGGGAGACTCCTCGGAGCCGGAGCGAGGCGGCGCGGAAATCCCGGCGCGGGAGCCGAGGATGCGGCCGCTACCACCGGCCTCTGCTTAGCCGCCGGCGGAGCCCTCCCTGCGGCAGCTCCAGCACCCGCCGCCCCTCGGCGCCGGGCAGCAGGAAGCGGCGCTCGGCCGGCTCCCAGCGCCCCCCCTCCCTCCCCGCCCAGCGCAGAGCGGGCGCCGGCGGCACGGGCCGTCGCGGGAGCAGCAAGCGCTGGCGTCGGATGCCTGCGCTACGCCATCGCGGTGCTGCCGCGGCCTGGACTCCGCGGGGAGCACGGGCGATCGGCGGGCAGCGGCGGCCGCTCCTTTGTGTCCCAGGTCGGTGCTGGGGAGCGGGAAGGGGCTGCAGGGTGGTCGGGCAGAGCGGCGGGACCGTGTCCGTCCCCTCCCGGAGGGCTGGGGCAGGCGGGCACCCCTCCTGTTCGGCCTGTCTCCGGGGCTGCGGGCATGGCGGGCGGGGGACTTGTTTGTGTCGGTCTGACCTCCGCACCCCGGCTGGAAAACTCGGGGAGCCTTTCTGCAGCCCGACCGGGTGGGCGGCGAGGTGGGGCGGGGGCTCGGCCGCCTCCGCCGCGGGGCAGGGACTCTTCCCGAGCCCCCGGTCGGGGGCGGCTCGTGGCTCCCGGGAGCGGCTCGTGGCCGGAGAAGTTTCTGCCCAGGCAGCGTTTCGCCGCCGCTGTTGATTGTTTATCGCTCCGAGGCGGCGCCGAAAATAGGTCAGAAATAATGTCTCGCTCGTCCCCGCCGCGAAGTGTCCGAGGCCCGGCCGTGGTACTAGGAACTGCTGGAGGCGATGGTGCCTTTCCTCTCCTTCCTTTCCTGAGAAATACGGGACCCTCACAGGGTTTGAAACAGAGTTGAGGGGGCGAGGAGGGGGCGTTTATTATTTATTTATTTATTTTAAATGTCGGTTTCTGCGTGCAGTGTGGAAAGTTGCTGGCCGAGCGTTAGGAATAACTCCCAGCTATTTCCTGGTGCGCGGAGGGCGGCACTGGCGGCTCCCGCCCTCCCGGTCCGAGCGGGAACAGCGCGTTCCCCTCGGAGCGCTTGCAGAGCGGGGCAGGGCGCTGCGGGCGGCGGTGCCTTCAGCAGATGCTCGTCACCCCCGTTACCGTCCCTAGGACCTCGTCAGGGCTCAGTTAACCTCGGATGCAGGATTTGCATGATCAGTAAGCGCTCTGGTGGAAATAATGTTCGTTTCTTGTATTATTTTAAGCAAAAATTCGAACAGAACCAATTTGAAAGCTCTGATAATTATGCGTTGCAAACGCAGTATTGCTTGGAAGAGAAGTTGCATAGCATGACAGATTTTTTAAAATTGTAATTGGGGGATTTACAATCATGTTGATACTATAACCAAGGAGATATTTGTGCTGATGTGTTTAAGCCCACTTCCCCTTTCTCCTGGTTGCAGAGAATTTTGCTGACTGAAACATACTGTTTGAAATCTTACATTTTATCAAGTAGAGCGGATATAAATGCCTATTTTGTTTTACTGGGTTTTACTTTTTTTTTTTTAAGTGGTTCTTTCAGCTTGCTTAATGTCTTATAAATAGGCAAAGCCTGAGGTAAAATCCACACGCACCACCTTTTGGTTTGCTTGGCTGATAGCAAGTGGAAATGCTGCAGAATCTGTATTACTCTGGAAGGGAAGGCATTACATTTTCATCCATTAAATAACTCCAACTTAGCAGTTTGATTGTGAAGATAAAATTGCTTGGCCCTTGCTAAGCCCAAAACCGCTTCAATAAATCTCCGGTTTGCTGGAACATTATGGCTTTTTTACAATGAAAGAATTCTGGATTTGTGGAGGAACAAATTAGGCACTCCCGCATAGTTTTTATTATTCTCTTCAACAGTTCATTGCCCATTAAAACTGAATTGTTTTGTAGGAAGTGGACAACAATCTGGGCTCTGGCTGTATCTTTGCAAGTACTTTAGATGAATGAAGCACAGAGTTGTAATCTTGTTCTGTTTCTTCCATATGACTGTACCAGTAGTCACAGGCTGAGTACCTGCATTTGGTATGTCAGAGCACAGCTATAAATCTTAGTCTGCATTTTCCTTGGGTGGACCAATTGTTTTCTTCCCCCCCCCACCTTCCCCCATTAGTGGCATAAGTCAATTCTTAAACTTTCCCTTGGCAATTGATAGAAGTCAGAGAATACAGATTTGAACTCATTCTTTGGAGTGGTTTAAATATCCCTTGTGTGATATACAGTCCTACACTACTGGTGAGAGTTGACTGATATGTGAAAGTACTGGTTTTGGACTTAAATTAGCTCTTTATTAATAAAACTGATTTGTTACCTTCAATTCAAATTATGGTCAATTTGACTGGCCTGCATAAGGTGTGGCATGAATAGTAATCAGTAATAGTAAAGTGCACACAGCAAACCAAAATCTGTCTTCAAAACTGTGATTTTGAAAATGTGCCAAACAAACCAACACAGTTGTTGATTCATCTTGATTCCATTGCGATAGAATTTACTTTTGTTTTAAGTAAAACCTCAAAAGTAACACATTGGGCTCTGTTCAGATTTCAGAAGAGCTGAGCCCTTGCATCTCTTCTGAAGCCCCAATGATGGATGTGACGCAACTACTTGACACTGCAGTATTGTGGTTTTGACATTTCCCTTGGCAGCACATGGGTTTCAAAGCTCAGTTCCAGGACTGTCTCTGGTGCTTTTTTCTCACAAATATAGAATTAGTGAATTCAGTTCCCAAGCAGGGAGAGATGTGAAAAGTGAGATCCATTGCTCACTCAGACATTCCTTGTTGACTTTGCTAGTCAGTTATCTGCTGAGAAAGATACTGACAAGTTCTAGTGGACGTGGTTGTGGTTTTCAGATATGATAAGCACTCTTTGACAGGATGTTTCTATCAGTATCTCATTCTCACCAGGTTACAATCTGGTGTTTTGGTGCGAGCTTCTCTTGCTGGAAGTGATTAGAATGGGATATGAATGCTACAGCCATCTGTCTGCCTGGGGAGGTGCATAGGAAAGCAAATCCTGGCAAAGGAATGAGGCAGATTACTTTGAGTGGCAAGGTTTTGAACTACTGCAGGTAAAGGTATGGAAGCCCTTTATGAGCTCTGACTCCTGTACTGTTTTTTCTTGATGAGACCCTGGTTGCCTACACCAGCCTAGGAGGCAGGTACCCAAATGTTTAGTAATATAATCGATGCCTGTGTCTCTCTCTTGTCTTGGTTGCTGTCCCAAATAAATTTGAAAGTTAAATCAGTACCAAAGATGGGCCTGAGTCTGAGAATCAACAATCAAGGGTTGTGAATTCTTGTTACTGTTGACCTTGTTTCAATGTTTGAAGTTGTTATTGTGATAGAGTAATGTTACTCATCCTTGCTTGGTAACTGTTTCATCTTGTGCTTCACGTTTTCTGTCTTGAAGTCTTTTTTGTTCTTTTTCATCTCTCAATCCCTACACACTATAGGACAGTCTTGGCAGAATATACTCTCTTGTTAGCCAAGGTTGCAGTTTTTTGTGTGGGTTTTGCTCTTCCCTTTTTTTCTCTGTATGGAAAAATACAGTCTCACTAGTGCTTTGTTTTCATGACAGGAAAGATGAGTAGCACCTGTGTGTTGACCAGCCATTGTCCCTGATGGATATTTGTTTTGACAGCCTGTTGTTGTATGTCAGTTACCTCTGACAGGCTGTTGCTCAGAGAACCCGTAGCCTAAATAAGTACTACTGTGTCAAGAATTTCTTTTGGTTAACTAAGAGCATAGCTCAGAGTTTCTTGAATTACTAATTATTTAATCTTGCATTCAGTATTCATCCTAATGAACAAGCATAGAAGATGTGATTTTTATTTTTTTTTTTTGTTAATGAAAAGTTTTTTTATCTTACAATCTTCAAAACTTTTATAAGTCCCTATATCCTAGTGATACAGTTCAGTGGTTACAGTGGTAGTGCTGAGTTGACATTTGAACTTGATGATCTTTAAAGGTCTCTTCCAACTTTGATGATTCTGTTCTATGGTACTATAAGTCACAATCCTGCTGCTTTAAAACGAGAATGGGAGATTGGTGAAGCCCACTCAAAGTCACATTTTTGATGCCTGTGAGCTTGTTACAATCATACAATGCTTCTGAAAAAATGCTAGTTCTATGTTTTTGTGCCACAGCTAGGCAAAGCAGTAATGTATGTCCTTACATTCTGTTAATATTAATGCACCATATGTTTTCTCCTTGGCAAGACACGTGGTTTTGTTTGCTACACATCTGCTGATTTTGGCCTTCTCTAGCATTTTGCTAAGCACCTTTTGAACACGTTAATTTGTTGGATACATGTCATTAAGTATTGTGTGTGAAAAAATAAGTTACTATTGAAGTAGGAACATAAATATTTATGCTTTCGTTTATAGCAAAAGCAGTTGGTATTTAGTAATGTGGTGTTGCTGATATTTGTAGAAGTCTGTTGTAGAAACCGTCTTCCTCGAAGAACAATGCGTGGAACCTTTGTGGTGACAAGAATATACAACAAAGAGTATACAAGAAAAAAATCTGAAAGGGAGGAAATAAGTTTGCCATAGTTTTGGGTCAGGAAGAAGTCAGGTGAGCAAATTGTGTTTACTTCAAGCGGGAAATTGGTGACAGCATTGTTCTTGGAAAGAACAGACAGAGAAATAAGGAACAGAATCAAATCTCACAGAACTCAACTTACAAGTGGAACAAAAGTTGAAAATGCTAAAGCAAATTGAAATGACATCAATTCTATTTTTTGTTAAATGGTTTCAGTGCTTTGTTTTATAATGGATTTTCTGTAGAGGTTTTGAAATTGGGAACATTTTTGTTGTGAAAAATTTTGAACTTTATATTGTGCAAGCAGTTTTGTTGGAAACAGATAAAAACTTTCACTTACCAATATTTCTTAATAGAACTAAATAAAACATGTCCACATTTTTGAATTACAAGTCTTGTATCAGAAAGAAAGGAAAGCATACAGATTTTGCTTTATTTATCTTTCTAGTGAAAAGTTATAAAATTGTTAGCTCTAATACTGTAGAATTATACATATATATATGTACATATGTGTGCATATGGTTTGCTGAATCTTGTTTGTGAAATAAATCACAAACCTGTACACACTATACCCCCAAATTAAGAAGAAATCTATAGTATTCAACAGTTAATTTTGCAGGAGGCTTTACACTTGACCTCTGACATTTTGAAATTACAAACTGACTTGTTTTCCAGATACAAGTCTGCTTACTATAATCACAACCTTGTTCACGTGCTGTGACCTCATGAATTTATCCCTGTTACTGACAATGTCACTCATTAGCTGTTGCATAAAG